TGTGTATATATATATATATATAAATACATTTTTTTAAATAAATTAGTTGCTTTGACCATTCGCCTTAGTGAGTAACAGACTTGGAGAAACCAAACGTTTGGCATTTACGTTTTTATTTACAGTTAGATGTTTTCTATAATACATCGGCTTTAGAGTTGCAGGAAATATTTTATTGCAAATGACTTTCTTTATATTCATGTAAACATTTTATATTTGTGATGTTTTGCATTTGTAAGCCATAAACTCGTATTACTGATGCTGTTTAATCTAGCAAATAAAATGTCCTTTTTGCTGACAGACAGTCTACAACAGATGGATGAAATGAAAGGAGGAATGTGGAAGAGACTCCTAAACAAGTTTAACGCTAAATCCCCTCAGGATGGAGCAAAGGAGTAACCCTATTGTTAATCAAACAATCCATGTGCACGCCCTTCCTGAACAAACCCCATCTGCTATATACAGAGTCTCCTAATAAACAGGCCTTTTCCTTCCCATTACTCGTGTGCTCTTACTTTAACCCATGTGTGTGAACTATTGCCAGGTGCATACCCTGTGAAATATTTAACTCTCTGGACTTTCTACATGCAAACCTATTCATCCTCGCTTTGTAAGGAGTTCTATTGTTCTAGTCATTTTGGCCAGGGTGAAAATTTCTATGAAATGGATATATCAGGTGGTATAGATTTCGAGCTCCTAGTTATAAGGCAGGGACTGGCATTCACAAACATTCACTGATGAAGAATCTATCACTCCCATTTAAAACCTATGGACCTGAATGGTTATCCAGCAGAGGATGTGGGCGAGTCACATTCTCTACATTATAAACAGACCTTGGTGATCCTTTTTTTCCCAGCTGCAGCAATATCAGCACAGTAAAAGTTGCAAATCATTTTACAGCAAGTGAGAGAAATATTTTCTGACCGCTAAATTGTAAGGAATTAGTGTCATGCTGGCCAAACAAAGCAATTCTAACCACTTTAAAATGCAAAAAAAAAACAACCAAACCGATCAGGATAACCTGCCATCAATAGTTATTGTATTACAATTTTACCAGACACAATTCAGGTTGCACTGATCTTCTCGTTGATTTTTGAATCGGGTTGAAATTGCTTGAAAATGGCCATGCATGTTTTGTTGGTTTTCAAAACATTTGTTACAATTCGCTATAAACAAAAAAATGCTCCGTAAAAATTACAGCTGGTGCCTAATTTATGAGGTATTCACTGGAGTTGGCTCCTCAAAAAAAATTGGTGGTTCCTGAACTGGACAGGCTGGCTCCTGAATTCCATATTCATTTCTCCAGCCCTGGTGTAAGCTTCATAGAAGCCTATACTAATGATTTTGTGATTTTCACAGAATTACAACTGTGTGCAGTTAATTGCTTGTGTGCAGTTAATTGCTTCTGTTTTTATAATGTGTAGCTTATATTATAGGTAGGCGTTTGTTCTGTCACTTAAGTGGGCTTTGCACTAAATTGCAAGGTATGCTTAAGTGGCTGCCCTGCTTACAAAATGCTGCCTTACATAAAAAACACTTTGGGGGGAAAAACGTAAAAAAAAAAGGCTTACCTTACTGTTACTGTGTAGAGGTTGATGTCAGTGATTTGTCTTGTGGGATTCTGGGAAAATGTGATTATTCCAAATCCCACAAAAAAACCCCATACTCCTGTACAATAATGTAGCGTCTATTTGCTACAATTGGGATTCTGAGCTTTGCCAAGATCCTCCTGTGTGGCCATGGGACATCAGAGACAGGAAGCGTCTGGACCTCAGGAGTAAGGTATTTTTCATGCTTTTTTTTCATGTGTGTATATATGTATTTTTTTTTTTTTTTTCTGAAATGCAATGTTAACAGGGGGTGGGGGCAGCCACATAAGTGAACCTTGCATTTTATTGCAAGGTTTAATTTAATAATCGATTTTATGCTTTTCAGTGACTGATCACAGGCAATTCAACAGCACAACCAAACTACGAAAAACACATGCTTTATCATGCACTAGGCTACTATGTTGTTTGGAGCCTGAGAAGCACACAGTCCCTGAGCCAGTATTCCTTTCCTACTCCACTTTCCAAGTCCCAAAGGGCTGCAAGCAATAAACAATTTTCATTTCTTGACAGATAGATCCATGTTAGTGTTATTCTTAACACAAGTTACTTAATAATGTAGCTTTGCCCTACCTGATAGTGAGGAGAAATGCACTATTAGTCGATGTTGAGGGCCACGGTTGAACACCATTTAAAAAAAAAAGTGTACTCGCAAACCTACTACAAAACAGTATATTTTGCACTGTCCATAGAAGCTACTGAGTTTAGTATTTGCCTGGACTTCTCCCTTAATCCAAGTTTAATTAAGTGAAAGCTAGCAAAGGTTTTCCAATTCAGGGACAGTTGGGATCGGGAGGTCAAATCAAATTTTTGACATGTAACATATTAATTCCCAATGTAAAGTCCATTGTGAAGGAAGCCCTGCTAATCATATGAGGAGGTCACAGGGCATTTATCTGCTTAAAACCTCTAGGAGACACGACGGCATGATGGTTTTCTACCCATGCATGGCTCTTTGATGTTTTTCATGGAGTTACTAGTACATCCATCTTCAAAGTTCTTATTCTTACTTTGGTTCCGTCTACTTTCACCCGAGCTTGAGAAAAAGGCATTGCCTCGAAACGCGTAGCGCTTTTCCTTCTTCTAGACCGACACCCTCAACTGCGGTATAACACCCCTATTACTGTCCCAGCCGAAGTCCGTTCCCCACGACTTTGCCGCTCCATCCCCTGAGACCTCTGACAGAGAGCCGGCACCAGACAGCTACTGTCACACAACACAGAATTTACAGTGTCTTTGGCCGCAACGGCTCAGCCCGGTCAGCTAAGTTCCCTTGCGACAGACACTGCAATATGTCCTCAGCCGTCCACACCACTGGGCTTCACCTGTCCAGAACTGTCTAAGTGTTCCATCGGACCATCTCCAAGGCTCCCCAGGACACCTAAAAGTGAGTCACTTTGTATTCTGGTCATCCTAAGTGTGAGGCAGTATTGTTACACTTCTTCATGATTGTTTAATTGTACTCAAACAGTAGTAGCGCTCTTAACACACACACTGTCTGTTCTTTTGCTAACACAGGGTTCCTCTCCCTGTTTCTAAGAGCTCGCACACTGTTTCACAGCCCTGTTTTAAGGTTACTTTTTCCAGCCTAATTTGTACCTTTTGGTAGTGCGCTTGTTCCTTTTTGTCTGTGCTTTTTTAGGTGATTCATGATGACCTGTTTAAAGGTGAGTACCAGGCAGATATACCGTAAAAGGTACAAATTAATGCAGCTCTGATTTCATTAAGAAATCATTACATACATTTTGAACTGTAAATACCTGAACTGTAAAGGTGGCCATACATTGTACAATTTTCGTTTCTGGTACGAACCCTCGTTCGATTATTCCTAGACTTCCCTATCAAGCAGAGTCAAATGTCGATTTCGGAAATTGTCCGTTAGCCATGCTAACCAACCAGTTTTTGACGAGCGACGGAAATAATTAACTTTTGCGCGCGTGCCGTGTTCTTGCTGAGATTTTTGATGAACGAAAACCCCACTGCTTCATTGGTTTTCGTTTCTCCAACCTGATGAACTGAAAAATTTCAATCACCATATCAAAAATAAAAATTGGTGATGTACCATCTACTGTTCGATTTTTACTTTGAAAAGACTGTACAGAACGGAAATTGAACAGTGCATGGCCACCTTTAGTCTACCGCTGTCAGTCGGCAAGAGCAGTTTGCTTTACAAATTTGCTCCTTGGTATATATTAATATCCACAAGTCATGTGAGACGTGTACTCCTGATGCATATACTGTATACTGTACATGTAGGGGTTGATATACTAAAAGAAAATCAGCTGTTCACTTGGCAAGGGAATTTTTATTTAGACCTCGTTCAAGGGTTGGTAAAAACAGGCAGTTGATTCATTTTTGTACCGTTCACATGTTTAGCACTGCTGCATCCACAATGCTCAGCTTTGGGGCAAAAATTAGGCAGCATGTCGCTTTTGGCATTCGATCATGTTCAAGCAAAAATACGGTTTTGTTTTTTTTTAATTTTCCTTTGCACTTGATTGGGTATTCATTAGGGATGTACCGAAATGTCGTCTGGCAAAACATTTCATCCAAAAACGGTACTTTGGGCAAAATGCTGAAAGTACCATAACGGCTGAAAATTCAGTGCGTCTTTAGGCTTCTCTCCTCCCTGCTGGACGCCAGTTTGTGTCCTATCCGATGCCCGCTGCTCTTCCCTATCTGTGTTGGCAGAGGCAGCAGGAGTCTGAGGGAACACAGACCGGCGTCCGGCGAGTAGGAGACAGCTCAGGATTTGGAGCGATGTGGGGGGAGGAATCGGCTGTCGCAGGAGGCCGAGCTCTCCTCCTGCACCGCCCCACTTGGCCTCCTGTGACAGCGAATCAGGATGGAGAGTGGGTTACAAACACCCAACTATCAGCTGATTGTTGAGTGTTTCTAAAAAAATGAGGACACCGTATGCTTGCTGTGTCCCCAGTTTTATATATGGAAAGGAAGTGCTCTACATCACTTCCTGCTCATTCATGATTGTGGACATAGTAGCTCATGCTATAGCCACAGTTTATGAATGGGCAGAAGCATAGAGGCTTCCTGTCCATTCATAACAGGGGCTGCAGAAAGAGATTTAGTACTCTGTATCCTCAATCCCTTTTTCTATTTTAAAAGACAAATATCAGGGGTCTGTTTACATAAATAATACAAATAAAATGAAATAATTAAAAACTTTTTTTTTTTCTAAAATGGTTGGAATAAAAACCATAATTTTTTGTTTTTTGTTTCGGACTGACAAATATTTTATTTACGGTTTTGGTTTCGATCTAAAAATTCAATTTCAGTGCATACATAGTGTTAAATGCAAAGTTGATATGTACCACCTTCACTAAGTTAAGGGAAAATGTCCTTGCAAAGTAAACAGCCTTTAGGCATTTTTGTCTTTAGTAAATCCACCCCATAGAGTCAACAACGCTGATATTTATTGCCGGGCATTACCATTGTTACACCTTTGCACTCGTGAATAGGCATCTGCCGAATGATTTATTTTCTTTGTCATCTTATTATCTTGGACATAGGGTGGAAGAAATTTAAAAAAAAGAAAATTGCTTCCGTTCTTCCAAACAAGTCAAGAATGTGTTTAATTACAAAATAACAAATGATTACAGAATAAATATTATGATACAAAATATAGTTATGTCAATTAAAAGATATGTTTTTGTAATAATTTTAGTGTGTTTGCATGTGTGTCTGCATTGTGTCTAAGTGAGTAGGAATGTGAAAATAGGTCCCTTTTCCCCTTTGTGAGAATGCACCACCCATCTGCAGCTGGATGCCCTCTTAGTGTCCTATTAGAGCATGACAGATTTAGGGGCCAGTGGTTCCCCATAAGTAGAAACAGCTAAAATCTGAAACTCTTTGTTCAAACCACTAGTAGGAGAGAGGGTCGGGGAGGAGGCATGCCCCAACTTTATCCATAGCTTTAACTATAAG